AAGCTTTATACTAAACCCTCTAAATATATCTTCTACTAAAATTATATTAAATTCCTAGGATATATCATTTCAGCTAATAATATATCTATGGATATAAGCTAGGTAGAAACTATTATTATATAGGAGGAACCCTATAGTTACTATAATATCTAAGTCTTCTTAGGTTTCTATAATTTCTACTAATAATTTATTAAGAATTATTCCTTAATTGCTTTACCTTTAACTAATCTCCTGAGAGGAATAAAAGAAGGAAAGAAACTAGGATTAATAAAGTTTAATCTTATTAAAAAACTTATATTTTAAAGACTTATTATAGCCTTTTAAGTAGTACTACTATTATATTACTTTAATCTAGCTCTACTAATTCAGATAGAGATAGATGCCTTAAAGGATGGTATAGCTAGTATTCTCTCCTAACTAGATAAATAAGGGAGATAGCATCTAGTAGCCTTCTAATTAAGAAAGTTTATAGGAGCTGAACTTAATTAGGTAATACTAGATAAGGAATTATTTACTATTATTTATTCCTTTAAATATTAGTATTAATATACTAAAGGAGCTATGTATTAGATTAAGGTCCTTTCTAATTATATTAACCTATAAGGTTTTATAAAATAACTAAAGTTAAATAGTAGATAGGCCTATTAATTAATTTTATTAATACTATTTAATTTTATTATTAAATATTAAAAGGGAAAGGCCAACCCTACTAATATACTTATAAGATAATATAGTAATCAGACTATACTATAGTCTAATAATAATAATAATATTATACTAATTCATAAGTAAATAGTTACTATGCAGTTACTAAGGACTAAGGGTTAAGATAACTATAAACTAGAGCTAGATAATATATTATTAGAGCTCTGCTATTATAAAGACCACCTATAGTAAGAGGTAATTTACTAAGATAATCTATAGTAGTTAACTAATAATTATTTAATACTATAAGCCTTAGTTAAGTATRCTACTTAAAAGGAAAATATTTATAAATATAAAACTACTAAAGACCTTAAGGATTTAATTAAATAATTATAAACTAAAGATATTAAGGCTTAATACTAAATTGCTACTATTAGGTAGGATACTACAGAGTAAAAATATTAGAATATTAATTCTAAAGATCTTTTATAATTTAAAGGCAAGTTATTTATGCCTAATACTAAATAATTAAGGAACTAATTAATTAGTATTTACTATAATAAACCACTAGCTAGTTACTTTAGTAGAAACTATACTGAAGCCTTACTGAGATAAAAGTTTCACTGGATAAATCTATAAAATAATGTTAAAGTATATATTAAAGAATATCTAATATACTAAGGCACTGTAGCACTAAGGTATAGGCCTTATAGTAAGCTTAATTTATTACTATAACCATCCTATCTATTTAGTAAACTATTAATAGATTTTATAACTAGACTTCTAATAATACTATATAGGATTAATCTAGTTAATAATATTTTAGTTATAATTAATAGGTTCTTAAAATAGTCACTCCTCTTCCCTATCTTAATAATAATAACTATAGCAGAACTAGCAGAACTATTTTATTAAGAAGTTAAATTAAAATTTAGACCACCTAACAGCATCATTTCAGACTAAGGACTAGTCTTTACTAGTAAATTCTAGGTAAAATTATGCTATATTATAAAGATTAAATAAAGATTATTAACTATATTTTATGCCTAAACTAATAGCTAAATAGAATAGATAAACTAAGTCCTTAAAAGATATCTCTATTATTTTATTAATAAAGAATAAAATAACTAGGTAACTCTGCTAAGAGAAGCTAAGTTTACTATAAATAGAGTAATTAATATATTACTAAGTAAATCCCTATTTAAAATCTTACTAGGGTATAATCTAGACTTTTATATATATACTAAGGATAGTACTACAGGGAGAGAGATCCTAGCTATAATAGTATAAGTATAAAAACTTTTAGATCTTTAAGAAAGATTAAAGGAATAATAGTATAAAGCTAGTAAAATATAAGTAAAGTACTATAATAAATATTATAAGGAGTTAGTATTAGAAAAAGAATAACTAGTAGGACTATTAATAAAGAATCTTAAGTTAAAGATTTTAAGTAAGAAGCTAGCTCCTACTTTTATTAGATTTTTTTATATACTAGATACTATTAGGTTATAAGTATATTATCTTACTTTATCTATAAAATATAATTAAATTTATAATATCTTTTATATATTATACTTAGAACCATGGAATCAGGTAAAGTATAATTAATTACTACTAATACTAAAGCTTAAAGATAATAATAAATAGGAAGTTAAAGAGGTTAAGGATAGCTATATTATTAGAAATAAATAGTACTATTTAATTAAATAGAAAGACTAGCCTTTAGAATATAACTAATAGGTTTATACTAATAATATAACTAATATATAAGAAGTAATATAGAAATATAAGAAAAGAATTACTACTATTAACTAATATAAAGGCACTAGGAAGGCTTAGCTAAGGCTAAGTATAATAGATAAAGGTAGAATATAATACTAACTTAAATATCCTTAAGTACTAAAGGAAAAGACTAATTAATATTAGCTAAGTAAGTCTAGTTAGTAACTACTATTTTATTACTATAGAAATAGATGCTAATTACCTTAATCTCCTCTATAAAAAAGAGAAGAGAGGCAGCCTAAGCTATATACCTAGTATTACTAGATATAAGTTAAAGAGCTTTAGCTAAATAATATATAGCCTAATTATTAGTAGTAGCCCTAGTGTTTAAGTACTAAATATAAGCTATTTTAGTATAATAATCTTTAAGAAACTTATTATACTTATTACTCTATAAGAATATTAGTATTAAGATAGTACTATAGTAATAAATTAACCTAGAAACTTATATACTATTCCTTTTTCTTTTCTATAATATTATATAACTAATAGTAGTTCTGCTCTATATTCTTAAAGGCATTAATAAGCCTAAGAAGGGTGACTAAAAAGTCCTTAAAAAGACTTAGATCCTAGGTATACTAGGGATTAAAGAACCTAGTATACTATTTAATAATAATAGATAGGTTAAGGGCATTTCTAGCCATACTAGGTATAGCCTAGAAATAGTTATTAATACTAAAATAATATATAAATCTAATATAATATATAGGTTTATAGAGTAAATAGTAGGTATTATACTAGATATATTTTATAGAAGTACTATCTATAAGTTTATAATTAACTTTAAAAGAAAGGCCCCCTTAGGGGTTAAAGTTCTTTAATATAGTATAGAGGTAGTATATATACTAGTACTTTCTATAGATAATAGTATTAGCTATRATAAAACTTAAYAGTAAGGAATATAAAGAAGAAGTAAAATATARTAGAAATAAAARARAGATTATAAGATTTAAAAAAACTTAAATCTTAAGTATTAATAAATAAAGAAGAACTATAATAYTAAAGAAAATACTATAATATAAAAGAGAAGTATTAATATATAAARTTAAAAGAAGAGAAAATATAAATAAAAATATAATTAAAGATAAATATACTATAGTTATTATCTATAATAATATTATTTACTACCACACTATAGTACATAATAATAAAGAATATAATAAATTTTAAAATATATAAAGCTAATATAATAGAAGTATTATATCTACCCTATAATTAGTTATCTCTATTAATAATATTATATTATATTAACTATTATGATATTATTTACTCTTTAGGAAAATTTAAGGTTATATAACTCTAACTAAGGATAGTTATTATAACTAGATAGGGTATAATTATAAAGGCTTAGCTATAGCCTAGCTACTTAATTATATAGCTACCCCTTATATCCTAATTATTTTTAACCTCCTATTTTCATACCTTAAGCTACTTTTAAATCATTACTAAATGCATCTAGGATAGATAGTAAAGATAAATAGTATTCCCCTTATCTGATATTTAAGAAGACAAGGATTAGTTTTGTTATAAACTAATCTACTACTCTCTATCATTCTTTTCTATTAATTATTGTCACCAATTCTTACCTAGTCAACAGGTTATCTACCCTGCGACGTAGATCCTTACAGAGTGCATGACCATGGAGTATGGACTCCAGTCAATGCTTATCACATTTACAGCAAGGTTGCCAATCTCCAAGTTCCAGTGCGCAGCAGCAGATGCATACAGACTGCTGTCGTTGACCTCGCATATGACCGTCGCCAATCCTCATGACTCTGATGCTTTTTGCTCTGCATTACGCGCAGAGTAACGGACTTCTTCCTGGCGCTGCTCAGACACCATTGCTCACCAAGAACTGAGGGTTGAGTTATCGCCCGCAATCGCATGATGCAGGTACAGGCTAAAGTGAGTGTACCACTCGAGGAGTCACGGTATTCCACTAGTCCATTTCAGGGAAAGCATAGAAAGCAAGCTTCAGATGTTTCCCAAAAGAATTAGGGCAGAAAGAGACGGTGCACGAGCTATTTTTATTATGGTTCGCAGTGGGTCAAGCTACCTTACCCTAGCCTGTCGATCCCTGAGCGAAGACTAGTGTTCCTTTCATAGTCGGTAATCTGATCCGGCGGATTTACTGACAAAATCCAATCCGCATCCCAGCCCAGTTTCCCTTCGAAGGGTATCCTTGGGAGCCAGGCAACAGGTAGCATCACGGCTTTATTGATCTAAATACTCCATAAAATTCGCCTCAGATTATGGATAGTGACTTTCCAATAACTAATTACTTTGGTCAACGAAAGTGACAAATACAGACGTTCAATTTCCAAATGGTGAGCAAAAGCCATAGCAAGTTCTGGTCATCCTCTCGAACAGAATATCCATATTGGAAGCAATCTTGGTCTTCTTCAGAGGATTTACTCCATGATATTAAATTCTCAAGTCACAACACATATACGGTGATCATGACTTGGCAGTCGTGTCTGAGGAAAGATATGCGCTGCAATACGCATTCCGGTGGAGATGCCCCTGGCAGAGTACATGAAAATAACGAAACTGACCTACTTAAAAGTGATTGTTCACAATATTTCCCCAGGAGAGTTGCCATTGCAGTAGGCCCACAATCGACTCAAATTCTTCACCTTCGAGGGAACCCCGTTCGTCCTTGCGAACCCATCAACTTCCAAAATCCCAGAATTACCTTTTGGCCTCGATGCTTGCCCTTGGCTCTCCGTCCGCACTGATGCTGGACCGCTAGTTAGAATTCTCGCCTCAGGCTCCATGCTTCCTGATGTTGCATCAAGGCTCTGATCCAGCCCTTCCCTGACTTCTGTACCGCCACCTACACTGACATCCATCTCCATGAAATCGCCATCGGCCAAACCACGGACAAATCGTCCGGTTGGATCAAGCGGGAACATGTTATCAAGATAGTGCTGATTGAGTTGGTGCCCCCTTCCAGGCCGTTCAAAGACGCGGCCCATGAATCTGTTCTCCCGCGGGTCCTCGGTGACTTTGCGTGTGAAGTGCAGAACACCCCATCGGCTCACAAAGTCCTTGCTGTTCGCATAATGCTCAATATGGGCCACTGCACGCTTGCTCCGCGTTTGCCACTGAGCAGGGGCCAGCTTTGAGCCTGCACCGACACTGGGAATATGGACTCGATAGGGATTGTTGAAGTGGTTTGCGGCGTTCCCAAAGGTGTAGACTTCCAGCTGTTTGAGCAAATCATGAGGTACTTCATCATAGAGCCAATCGAGGATCATGCCACCTTCGATGGCGCCTTGAGAATGTAGGATGAGGACGACTTTCTTGATCCCCGGTGCGTATAGAGCCTTCTTGATAAGCATGTGACACTGCCGGACATTCGCGTTGCTGTAGAGTAAAGCGCGTTGTATCAGGCATTGGATGATATCGAAGATTATGCCGTTTCTGGTGCAGGTTAGGCTCAAGGCTCGGACGTTTCAAGTGTGATAACAGAAGGGAATGACGAGACATACGTTCTATTGTGCACCCCTACCACTGGACGGTGAAACGTTCGTGATAATCTATCGATATTGCTTTGTAGCCAGTGTTTCCTGTGAGGGCTTCTTAGCAAGTTACGTTGACTTTCGAAACAACAATTGAGACACACCCCACTGCTACACCGTTGAGGAAGATCCAGCTCTCATCATCGTGCCGTTTCCAAGCTGCAGAATGATCGTCCTCGGTTGACTTGAGACCGTCCTCGGGAATCTTGCCATTCAGAAGCGTGCACACGACCTTGTTCAACGCGAGGAATAGACCAATATAGAAGATGTAGGAGCCGAATGGAAAAGTGATCAGTAATGGCAGAGAAATCAGGAAGAACGATTGTGCAACGACAAGAATGGTATGCAAGACGATGTCATGGATATTGGCCAGGGACGGATAGAGCTCGTCCAGGCAATGGGATGGCCACGGCCACAGTGGAAGGAAAATATTGATCAGGTAGGGGCTCCAGCGCAAGAACAGCAGGATGTCGAAGCTGAAGAGCCTCCAGGGGGAGTCTGTATATGACAGAGGTGCCACTGTCTCCGTCTTAGTCTGGGAGCCGTAGAATGTCACTGCCATTATGCGAATCTGGCAGCCAGTGGATAGAAGATGCTACTTCTAATATCAACAACCAGGACAACTTGTCTTGAATGCCAGTTAACTCTATAATCATTATGCTTTATATAACAGGGTACTGGCTATGACCTTTAAACTTCTGTACACATCATGGCATGTCATGTCCTTTCATATCCGGACATTTATTACAGCTGCCCCTCTGAGGGAGATAAGGAGTCATATTAATTATGTATTCTCATGAATTCAGGGTTACCAAGGGTGCACCGTGCACAGAAGTCAAAGATGTAAGTGACTGGTCTCTTTCCATGGAATAATTACTGCTGGGTGATACCTTTGAATAATACTAAACAATGTTCTAATCCCAGCAATGGATTAGTTTTAATGCGCCTGTTTTGTTCTAGAACTTTACCTTATGGAAACACAGAATCCATGTGAATAATGTCTATTAATGCTTCTGCATACATTTAAGTTTTGAACTATATTTTAAGTTTATCTTGGCAGTGACATCTATCTACCTATTACTATTTGCGGCAATTTCACATGGCGAATCTCTGTAGTTCTAGATCTTTATCTCATAAGGTTAGGGGGGTCAGTCAGCTTATACTGTTGCAATTGGTAACAGTCCCGAGTTTTGGTCCATCAAGGCCGAGACCATCATGATATGGGTATTGAAAGGATGGGTTCTAGTGTTATCATGGCCCCACTTGTTATGACATATGGACCCAGTGAATAACTACACTTGTATAAGCTGCGGCTAAATGGACTTGTAAATAAAGTACTTATTTTCATGGCTAGATTTGATGTTACAGCTACAGTACCCGGCACTCAAATGTCTATGACCTCATGCGACCTGACACTGAACTTTTCGATCAGCTGATGGGCTCGTCCAAGTCTGGCTGTCAATCGAGAGGTAGACAATGAGAGCAAGACGTGGCTACTTTTAATGATAAACTATGACAGAAGGATGATGTCCAGCTTGTAATTGTTTGCAAATATTCGTTGCTAGTCAGGCCCGAGACGAAAATAACGGGAACTCAAGACTACCTAGTAATGATAGACCTATAAAGGACTCGAAGTCTAGAAGAAAGATCCCATAGCACTAGCAGGCTTTGGTGCCAATCCGTGTCGCACTGGAATAAATGCGAGTTGTTTGGAGAAAGGCATAAAACAGAGAATTATGGCCACCGATATCCTGCCTCCTCCTGTTGACGGCGTCAAGCCCTTCACCCCCACCAACGTATTGCCCTCTGCTTCACGTCCCCCAAAGCTCAAGGACTCCAAATGGACTACAGATGGAGACTCATCAAGCCCCTCCGTCACCACCAAGGGCCAAAGACCCCAAACCGATCAACCACCGCTGAAAGACCATAAATCCAACGTGCATGATACAACACATGCTCGCTACCCCCGTATTTCCCGCCCTGTTGAGCTCATGCGCACCGCCTATGATGTTGTCGTCATTGGCTCTGGATACGGCGGGGGAGTCGCGGCGAGTCGAATGGCGCGGGGTCGGCAGAGCGTGTGTTTGTTGGAGCGCGGCAAGGAGAAATGGCCTGGCGAGTATCCGGAGGAACTGCATGATGCCTTGAAGGAGCTGCATGTCAGCGGAGAATTCGCTCCCTGGAAGACCAAGGGCAAGTGGACCGAAGGAGGAGATCCGACAGGACTCTACCACCTGGTGGTTGGCGAGGGACAGAATGCCTTCGTCGGGAACGGTCTAGGCGGGACCAGTTTGCTGAATGCGAACGTCTTCTTGGAGGCCGATCAGCAGGTTCTGGACATGAACTGTTGGCCGGCGGAGCTGAAAGATGAGTCGGCTTGGAAAAAGTGTACGTTGTTCTTTTCTCCTACGGCAGGTAGAGACTGGGATGTTTCAAACGGTGTGCTCCTCACAGGAGATCGTTTCTGCTTGCAGGATATAGACACTGGGCTTGATCTAATATCTACAGACTATGGCCGGGCCAGAGGCGTTCTGGAACCTGCTTCATATCCTCCTGACTTCCCGGATCTGCCAAAGTTGGACCTACTCCAGAGACAGGCAGATCTTATGGGGTTGGGAGATAAATTCTATCGCGTGCCGCAGACCACTCGCTTCGTGGATGGACCCAATAGTACTGGAGTCGAAATGCATGCTTCCACTCTCACCGGCATGGACGCCACCGGCATCAATGACGGGAGCAAGTCGACTACTTTGGTGAATTATCTCAGTGACGCCTGGAACTGGGGAGCGGAAATGTTCTGCGAATGTGAAGTGCGGTACATCAAGGCGGCCCCAGACGGAGAAGGATATATCGTCTACTTTGCCTGGTATGGCGGCAAGCGGGGAGCGTTCAAGGAAAATATCTACGAGGACTTGATGTGGGTACACGCAAGAAAATGCGTCTTCCTTGGGGCCGGCAGCCTTGGCACCACCGAGATTCTTCTCCGTAGTAAACAGATGGGCCTGAAGATGAGTGACAGCATCGGCACGGGAATGAGTGGCAATGGAGATATCCTAGCATTTGGGTACGTGGGTTCGTTTCTTCTGTCCGGTGCTCCATCGCTAAAACTGAGAGATATAGCTACAACACGGACTACGATGTCAACTCTGTAGGGCGTCCATCCCCTTCGCCAGAGCGTCCCATTGGGCCATGTATCACCGGAGTGATCGATTGTCGGAACCAGCGTCATCCGCTGGATGGCTTCATTATCGAAGAAGGAACTGTGCCACAAGCGCTTGCTCCGTTTTTCGAAGCGATGCTTGAACAGTTGCCCGGACGGATTGCCCCCAAGGGACTTGGTGTTTTTGAAAAGGTAGAACACTTGTTGGCAAGGCAGGGCAGCAAGCTTCTGGGACCGTACTTCCGCAGCGGTAGCACCGAGAAGACTCAGGTATACCTAATCATGTCGCATGACAGTAAGTCTCCCGTTACATGCCCTTGAATTTCTCGATGCAGCCATCATTAAGTCTTGTGATCTTAGGCAACCAGGCGACTCTCACGCTTCAAGATGACAGACCGATTCTCAAATTCTTGGGCGTAGGCCGCTCCGAGCACGTCAAGTACCTCGATTCAGTCCTTGCGAAGGTGACGAATGCTGTGGGAGGAACGTATATGGGTAGTCCGTTCTGGTCCGCTCTGGGTCAGCAAGAAATAACTGTTCACGCAATGTATGTTCTGTCGGGACCCATGACATGCATTTTACCTATACCTGACATTCTCTTGCAGCGGCGGAGCCTGTATCAGTAGTGATGGAACAGGTTCCAACGGCGGGACAAACCATATGGGTGAAGTGTTACAAGGCGAGGGCACTGAGGTCCATGAAGGTTTGGTTGTCTGCGACGGCGCTCTCATTCCCACTGCTCTCGGAGCCAATCCCTTCGCCACAATCACAGCATTGGCCGAGAGGTCAGTCGAACTAGCTGCGAAAAAGAGAGGCATCGACATAGACTTCGATACGAGCAATGGTAAGCGAACTCGAGTACATTCGCCGGTGCGATATTTACTTGTATTAGGCATCTTAAACCTGTACGGCAAACCAAGATTCCCTCTGGTGGATGATGCAGGTGTTAAAACCACGGAAAAGCTCATCGATGTGGCCGAGGATGACCAGACCAGCGGAATCGGGTTTACGGAGGTAATGTCTGGCTTCATCCACATTGGAGATGATGTCCAAGACTTTGAGCTTGCCACCAAAATTGCTCGGAGCGGATGCGAGGCTGCCAGGTTCTTCCTCAGTGTGAAGTCCTGGGACACCGAAGATTGTAAATCTACCGCATCCTGAGTTTCTTCGCTGTTGCAAGCTAACATGAACAAGTGGTCTCGAGCAGCGCTCATTCCGCCATGCTGACCGGCTCCTTCTCCTGTGCTGGACTTAAGGGTCCCTTCATGGTGCATAGGGGCGATTTCCAGCTCTTCAACCAGGATTCAAGAGAACCAACTACTCGGAACTTGACTTATAACTTCGAGATGATATCCCCGTCTCGTGAGAAGCTCTATTTCAATGGTTATAAAGTCGTCAATCCTTCCGTTGCTTTTGATCCGATTGGCTTTTGGAAAGCCACATCCACTCTGTACGCCACCATCACCGTTCCAGACGGCCAGGTCATTGGACGCGGTACGCTTTATATCAAACCAGCAGATTTTGTCTCGGAACTTGCAACACTCGAACCCAGTGGCCGGAATCTATACGCAAAGGCCAGATCCGTTGCCAGCTTCCTGACCTACTTTACCAGAGAGGCCACCAAGATTTTCTTCGCGCCATTGACCTACCTGCAATGGCCCAGTCCCACATTTCATGGTTACAGCAACGCAACGGAGATATCTGAGACATTCACTGTAACCGCCTCAGATGGCGTCCATTCAACAATGCAAATGTGGAATCCGCTAGGCAGCGACGTATCCACCGCAAGGCTAACTATTCTGTTTGTTCCTGGCGCTGCAGTCGACTATCAAATATTCGGCCTTCCCACCATCGAAAAGAATGCCATCGATTATTTCCGCGAAGCGGGCTACCGGATCTACTGTGTCACGCATCGTGTCGGCAAGACCATGACGGCCATGAAAGGGAGTACCACGTTCGACGCGCGGCTTGACATCCTCGCTGCTTTGGCCAAAATCCGCGAGCAAGAAGCGCAGAGGAACGGGCATGCAGACAAGATCTACGTGATTGCTCACTGCGCTGGCTCGGTCGCGTTATCCATGGGCCTCCTGGATGGAAGCATTCCAGCTGGCTGGATCAAAGGCATTACCGCGTCAAACGTCTTCATGAATCCAATATTTGCCAACGTCAATCTGGCCAAAGCTTCGTTACCGATCCCAATGAACAACCTGTACAACAAGCTCGCAGGTTCATGGTTCAGCTGCACTAGCAGTCCCAGCGACTCGCTCATCCAACAGATTCTCAATCAGGTCTTACGCTTCTACCCTGTAGGAAGCAAAGCGGAGATCTGCAATTCAGTCGTCTGCCATAGAAGCAGTTTAGTTTTTGGCCGGTATGTCAGCTATACTCATCTGCGCTCACCCCTCAATACCAGCTCCCCAACTGATTATTACACCATGCTAACCATTGTTGCTTCCTTTCCTTTCCCGCAGCCTCTGGACGCACAAAAGCCTCAACGCCCCAACTCACGCACAGCTGGCGAACTTCCTAGGCGGCACATCCATGCGCTCCCTCGGTCATCTCATGTCCATGGGCCGTTCTGGCTATGTAACCACCAACCCACCCACATCGATCAACCTTGTGTCTCCATATAACATTGCACGCCTTGAAGGCATTCCCATTTTCTTCTTCTCCGGAGCTAATAATGCGGTGTACGCGCCTGAGAGCACAGATGTCTCATACACCATGCTTCGGGATGCACATGGTCCAGATGGCTATGAGAGAGTCGTCTTCGAGGGAAGAGGCCACCTAGATTGCTGGATGGGGGTCACCGCCCATATGGATGTGTACCCCAAGGTTAGAGAGCATGTGGATAAGGTTATGCTTGGTCGTTCGTGAGTGTATGCATGTTACCAGACACTGCCTTTTTTATTTGGTTGGATTGCGTTGTCTAAGTCTAGTGTTGTTCTGGAACTGTATGTTCCCACCTTTTAATACTAAAAGTTGAGCTTCCTGGCTTGTCATACTTCAATTCATTCTGCTTCTCATGGTTTATAAGCTATATAGTGTTACGGTCAAGAGCAAGATGAACTCAAACTGTACCATTCTTGGTTTGGTGTGTTGTTCGAATATGTTCCCCTACTAGTAAGCGCGTTGCTAACATGACTATTATATGGCCAGAGATGAGCGTCATGCAGATATCTAGATGCAGAGTCTTACTGTCTTCTCTGCCCTCTTTGCGTCCCTACTAGTAAATACTATAGGTTGATTAGGATCTACTAGGCAAGTTGTCCGTATAAATGGTTCGATATTGTTAAATTAAAAACACTTTCATAACAGGGCTTCTAGAACATGTTTCGATTAGTAGGATATGATTTTACATCTAACAACCTTTTAGCTTTAGAGAAACATTCTAGATTCTTTTAAAAATAGCTATAGATTAATGTTAAATGAATAATGATTCAAAGATTTCAATACTTTTTGAGTCTTGTAATTTTTCACCGCATAATTTACTGTATAAATATGCAACTCGCCTCGCAACGGTTACGGGCTGCTGGCACACACCAACTTCCGCTCTTCTTTGAATCAGCGCATATTTCATGTTGCGAAACCTGCAGCTGCGATAGGGTTGAACCGTTTCTTCAAAGGTGGTGGAGCCCGATGACATGTCAAAGTCAGCAGAAGTAAATGCCGGAAACAGACATTGTCTGTGGCCGAAAGCGGCAGCAAGTTCAAAACGATGGTTGAGGAAGGATCCACAAAGAGCTGTCAGGAGACTGCATGGTGCGCTCTGGACTCTAAATGCTGGTTTTGTAATTAGTATATTCATTCATAGAGCCTGGTTTGACATATTTATGATGTGAGATACAGGAGTAGAATGATCACCCTTATTGACAAAAGCGTCACAAGCATGTGAATCCTGAGCTTTTCTTAGATGGATTGAACATCACCCACTAATCTGGCAACTTACATGCTCTATACTACACTAGTCAGCTTCCCCTCCCTTTGCTCGGCTGGAAATCTCGACGAGTATTCGATCAATCTAGTGTGAAGGACTCAGTGTGCATATAATCAAGCCGTTGAAGACGACCGAGCGCAAGGCGCTTGTCAACACGTTTGCTTTCAAGTCAGTCAGCATGAATCTAAAGGATAAACTGAAGACATTGGACAAGGTTCTCAATGAAGGGGCATCAATTAACTTCCCTGGCGATCCCGAATTCTATCCAAATACCATTCGGTGGAGTGAGTATGCGGCACCCCGGCCAGGCGCAGTGATCAACGTAGCGACGGAAAGCGATGTCCAAAAGACAGTAGGTGGAATTTCTTTAGAACCTCTGATGATTTGACGAGGGGCCAGGTCTGATTTATCTGCTGACCATCGCCAGGTCCAATGGGCTATCCACAATGATGTTGAATTCCTCGCTCAAACTGGCGGTCATGGATGGACAACATCATGGAATCTCGGAGATTCTGGGATTTTGATCAATCTGAGAGGTTTAAACAACGTGGACGTAAACCTCAAAGAGGGATACGCCATAATTGAAGCCGGCGCTTTGGTTAGCGAAGCGATCAACGCGGCTTATGCCGCAAAAGCCCATATCGGTACGTCGATTTCTGCAAGCGATAGACGGGTTGATCGTACGCTACCCGACTAACGGACTGACCGAATGCACAGTTGTCGGCAACTGTAACTCCGTCGGCGCCTGTGCTGCGCTGCTTGGTGGCGGCTTCAGTCGAGTGCAAGCCAACTATAGTATGTCCATTGACAACGTGATATCACTCCGGCTCGTCACTGCCAAGGGGGATGTGATTACTGTCTCTTCCACCGAAAACGCCGAGCTTCTTTGGGGTTTGAAAGGAGCCGGACATAACTTCGGCATCGTGACGGCGGCGAAAGTCAACGCATTTCCGCAAATCAACGACGGCATACACTGGGAAAGCACCATGATCTTCCTCCCAGACCATATCGAAGAAGTCACTCAGACCATCAATGATCTTGACATGGGAGAAGGAATGGCAATCCATTACGCTTTCACCGGTCTGCCACCATTTGGATTCGTATGTGACCCCCTTTTTCGCTTGGCATTTGATTCAAGTCATGGACGTCCAACGCTAAGCCGTATGACTTTACAGCCGGCAGTCATGCTGGAACTGTGGTATGCCGGTACGCCTTCGGACGCGCAAAAGGCCTTTGCTCCCATCCTCAACCTGCGTCCTATCTACCAGCATAGCTCGCCAACGCCGTACAACGAGATAAACGCGCTTCTCGACCGCGGCGAATACAAAGGCGGCCAGAAGCCGACATGGTCCGTCGCTCTGGAGAAACTCGACCCTGCGGCAGCGCGGGAACTCTGGAAACACTATCTGGACTTTCGCCTCCATCATCCATCCGCCAAGGACTCGGTCGTCATGTTCGAATGCTACGCCTTTGGAAAGGTCCGCCAGGTGCCGGATGAGAGCACGGCTTTCCCATGGAGAGCTTTAAACTTTCACGTGTGAGTCTTCCAATTTACACGACCGTTCTTGGGACGTGCCTCCCCGTCCTCTGCCTCAATATGGTGAAATCAAGTCCTGACGATAACTTGCCGCCATCAGCTGCGGCTCTCTTTTGTACTCCGACCCCAAAATTGATGAAGCGGCCAACGTGTGGGGCCAGGAGTTCCGGCAGATCTTGCGAGAGGCGTCTGGTATGCGAGAGAATAAAGTGTACGTCCTGCACCGTTATGCTGCCACCGGCACCCTCTTAATTTATTCTTTCCATTCATCTGATCATCTCTTGTGTCCTCTAGATATGTCAACTACGCCACGGGCAATGAGCCCATCGAGGAAAAATATGGCTATGATGAAAACCGGCTGAAGAGACTGAGAGATCTTAAAACGCTGTGGGACCCTGATGGGAGGTTTAGTCACTATCATCCCATTCACTGACGAATATACTCTGTACTTGCCAATGTACCAGCTTCGGTTGTGGAGACTGCTCTTTGGAACAACGCTATACCTGGATCAATCAGGCCTGCAACTCGATGCCATGGGGTTGATTAGATAACCGTACAAGGATAACAGAGTCTCACCATCTTAGTGGTTTCTGGCTGCGCCTTCTAGATACCACTTAACAGGGATGGCGGAGAGCGTAAGCAGAGTGGGAATTGAGCGTTTCAGGATCGAGTGCAGGAAACAATTGGTGAATGTGCCCAGGGGAAGCTGTTTTGACGGTAGACTCTTAAGTGATGGTTGGAAATGACTAGAAGATGGACTTCCATGTAGTAGACTCTCCGCTACGCTGTTGCTGTGTCTAGTATATGTATCATGCTTGGCGGTCAAAATATAACTATGCACTTGCTCATTATGAGTCATCATGACTCGAAACGATTTATCGATCCATGCTTGAAGCAACAGAATGTCAATTAACTAAAGTAAATGCTTATAAAAGACTCCTGCTCGTATTCTCATTTCTCAGACACAAACCCTCGCAGGTCAATGATCCATTACAAACCCAATGGCGCAAAGCTCCAACCACGCAATCGTTTTCAGGGCAGCCGGGTTACTGGGCTGGTCCGCGGTGAATCAACTTCTCTCTGGCTACCCTACTTCCCGCTCATTCTCCTGAGTCACAGCCGTGCTTAATCAGTCTGTGCCAGAAGCTGAACTCTACTGGCTGTCTCTGGGTCCAGATAGACCGCAGCTACAGATTGTCTCGGGCATCGATCTCTTACAAGGAACAGGAGATGACCTGGCAAGGTAATTGAAGGATAAAGTTAATGGAGTAGAGCAGATAACCCATATCTTTTACTTTAGTATCTGCTATGCCATATTTGTGTCTTCATTATTTACTTGTTCCTGACTATCAACAGTGTTCACCTCCCTTAATAACAATCCTATCAAAGAGTGCACCTAAAACTGCGGCATAATGCAGAGACTTATGGATGCCCTTAATATAGTAGCACTAAACCTACAGACATTTATCTATTCCAGTGGCACTAGAGTAAGCACACTAGCACCATGTTCAGTACTTCTCTAATAACACTTTTCAGGGCTACAGTATCTATATACCAGGCAGCATATTCCAACCACCCCTTGTGGAATCCATGGCTGACAACCTTCCAGATGACTACGCCAGGACAGTGGCATACCCCTGGTTCCAAAAAGTCCTCTCAGAATCCAGCAAAGGACACAGTTAGACCTGGACTGAGGTCTGTCCTAACACTATTATTAGGTTTACCCTAAATAGCTCTACCTTTTCTCTGGCGCTCCACTGGGCCCAATATCTTTCCCTATATACTTACAATCATGGGATTAGACCGAATGAATCAGCCAGTCCAAACAGGGAGGTAGAAGTACCCTTCCCTGAAAATGAAGCAGGATATTGATTACTCTTGATGCTAGTCACTGAGAAGATTCTTAGTTGAATTACTATCCATGCAGCCCTCAACCCCAGTAAGTGCAGTCAGAAAATCATCAACATAGTGAATAATGACCATCCTGTGAGTTTTTGGCAATCTATGGCCTGCCATCGCCAACTAGTTCAGGCTGAAAGGAGTAGGACCCTTGGAAGCTAGTGATACTTTAAAGCTAGGAGAATATATATCCAAGTTCCATCATCTATTCATAGAGAATAGGCGACCGAAAGGAGTGACATGTGGTGTAGGCACTGGAAGTACCCAGTTAGATTCTGTAGGATGGTGGTTGTCTTTTGATCATCATTTGAGCTCGGGGGGGTAGGTTTAGAGATGGGAAGAAAATGGGGGCAAAAAGGATATGGTTTGTTGGACTTCTAGGTCGAAAGTTAAGTAATTCTGGGGGTAGGTATCAATCCTCGTTTAGCCCATTCATAAAAGCGGAGCCAGCTTTCGCGGAATCTTAGAACTAATAGAACTAGAATCTTAAAATATGGAGAAGGTTATATAGAACCTATAATAGCTAAATAGGAAATCATGAAATTATGTGCTGGAAGCTTTGTATTTTCTTTTCTATTCCTCCTGATCCTTGTCAGTGGGGTGCTGGTTATTTTTAGAAATTACAGGGATCATTCCAGGAAAAAATATTCCCTAAAGGGGTTAGCTTATCACAGGATCTCATGTTTCCATTTTATTTAGGGATCTTTCTAGAGGTTATAACCATTTTAAATCATGACTATTTCAAATACTTTAAGATAGTCAATGCTTTACTCTAGGTAAAACTTACCTGAAATTTATCTATGGATGTCACGGGCTAGAAGCCATATAAATCTATAACCTAGATTTGGATGGTAAGAAATCACTGAAAGGTTCTAACTAGGGCTGCAATGGCTGAACATAAAAAGGGGTGTGTAAATGGTTAATAAGATCATATAATAGGGTTAATTATTATATTAATTACTATAAGGTTATATAACTACTAGTGTCCTTACTAGATATAAGTTCACTGATGCCTAAGGTAGATTATAAGTATCTAATAAGCTTAAGTATTTAGTAGGCCCTACCTGCTATACTACCCCCTCTCTTATATTAGGGCTAGTATGCTTCCTAAGCATTAAGTACTACTATATTAATAAAGTTAATAGCTAGCTTCTATATAGGCTATTTATAACCTATCTATTTAATAAGGTACTCCTTCTAGTAGCCTCTTCTAACCTATTTCTTATACTCTTATAAGATTTCTTTAACTAGGTACTTAGCTTTACTATTAACTAGTATAGCTAGTAGCTAGTAGTTGCTATTTAACTAACTTAGGAATAGATTATTAGTAGTAGGGCACAGGAGGCTAATATAGAATATATTATAGATACTAGGAGGTGTATCTAATTAGTATATATATAATCTAATAGTCTTAAGTACTATAAATTTTATATACTATATATTAAGCCTCTAGCTTAGGTAGTCTATTTAGATATTCTATAAGTCTAACTAGATCTTTAATTTTATAGTATACTACAGGGCTGCTATATAGAAGTAGTTTAAATATTCTTCCTAATATTATTAGATAGTAGCTAGTTCTAATTAGGCTATCTCTATAGCCTCTCTTATCTTTATTATAATTACTTTAGCTCTATCTTTTAGTAAATAGGCTATGCTAGTAGTAGTAGCTTTATAATCTAGTTTCTCTATCTCTAGTAGCTTAATATTATATCTATAATCTAAGAAAAATAGGCTAACTTCTATACTTATAAGTTATAGTATCTCTACTATTAATAGTAAGTTAGGCTATTAGTAGTAATAACTTCTAGTTACTTTAAGTATAGTTATAGAAGTTCTATAGGTAAGCCTCTAATATTATATTTATCTATTTAATCTAACTATCTATCTATAGATAGAATACTATTAAGAGTTATTATTAAATACTTAGCTACTTATAAAAGTACTCCTAAAACTAGCTAATAAACTATAGGCTATAATCTAATATAATTATACTAGGAATACTATAGTATCTAATAAACTAGTTAATTAGTAGCTAAGCTACTATCTTAGTATTTATTTACTTATAGGGTACTAAAATAACACCTTTCCCTAGCTTATTACTAATAATTATAATGTCTTTATAGCTATTAGAAGTAGGTAGTTTTATAATAAAGTTAATAGTAATCTTATACTATTTATAATCTAGGATTAGTAGGGGTTTTAATAATCCCTACTATTATTTATACTAGACTTAGTTAATACTATACTTATTATAGTTCTATATAAATTATTTAATGTCTATAGACAGCTCTAACTAATAAAAGTTCTAAGTAATTATAGTATATAGTATATTCTTCCTAGGATAGCTAGTAAATACTAAGTTATAGGTCTTCTATAATATTCTTATTTATAGTAGTTCTAAGTTAGGGACCTATTTACAGCCTTAGTAAAGTAGGTAGCTATTTAGTAATATTAAATATTTAGTAATTAATATCTATATATATAACTTACTAGGGAACTATATAGCTCCCTCTTCTACAGCCTATTATATTTTACTTAGAAGAGTATTATCTAGTTAAGCCTCCTACTAGTATTCTTCTAGTAATAAGGGTATTTCACCTGCAGATACTATATATAAGGTTATATAATAAATTTAATTATTATATTAATTACTATATTTACTTAGTAACCTTATATCTAGGTTAGATACTACTTTATAGTTATAAAATACTTATATATATACCTAGCTAGTAATAACCTTAAGCAGCACTAAGTAATAATTATATATCTTAAATCTATTATTATCTATACCCTATAGTATATCTTACTCCCTATATAAAAGGATATCTAGGTGGGTAGCTAACTTCCCTAGCTAATAATATATTTTATAGTTAAATCTGCTTAATATATATAACTAGTATATCTATTATTTATTAAGCCTTCAGATAGTCTTAAAGTATTTAAGATTATAATAGTCTATAATAAGCTTAAATTATAGTAAACTAATTAACTCTAATTCCTATTCTTTAAGGGTATTAATAATAGCTAGTAGCTCCTTATTATAGATCTTATAGTTATATTCTACTAGTGTATTCTTCTTAAAGATATAGATAACTAGTCTTAGTATACTATTATTATTATACTATAATATAGTAGCTCTAGTTACCTAGTTAGATATATCTATCTCTACTACTGTCATCCTATTAGGGTTAAACTATATAAAAATTAAGGCTATAGTAAATATCTTCTTTAATAATTTAAAAGCCTTTACTTATTTATCTTCCTATATAAAGGAGGTACCCTTATAGGTTAGAGCTATTAATAATTATACTATCTCTAAGAAATCCTATATAAATTATTAATAGAAGTTTATAAAGCTAAGGAATAATTATATATTATAGGCTAATATAGGGGTTTACTATTCTAATATAGCTTTTATCTTATCTAGATCTATTTATACTCCCTTATTAGCTTTAATATTAAAACTAAGATATTTTATGCTCTTTACTTTAAACTTATACTTATTAATATCTAATTATAATCTAGCATTCTTTA